AGGTGATGTCACCGATTTTGATCAACACCCTTTCTTGAAATTTAGCAAAAAAAAAATTAATTGGTTTTTCCGTTACCATGGTAACCATACATGGCTCAAATATGGCCTCCTAGACGCCTCTCGCAGCACTGTTTTTGACATTTTTTAATCAAAAATAATTAAACAACCGAAAAATTTGAATATGAAATAAATATATCTGTTTAAGAACAAGACTGAAAGCAACAAAAATGATGCAAGTTATTTAAATTTGTCTATCATCATTGTATCTAATTTAATCACTAAAATCTCAATGTTTTGCTAAATTGACCATTTTTTGAAAAATGCATTTTTTTATACATTTTTGAGCATAAATTTAAAAAAAATGCAGCGACAGATTTTCATCTCAATCAAGTATAATGTGAATTTGAACTAAACGAAAAACATACAAAAAAAGAAAAGTTGTGTTTTTTCTTAAATCCAAAATAATTGACTTTCAAAATCGTTGTCATGGCAACATCAGAAATATTTCAAGATAGATTTACTTGTGTTTATACATATTTTTTGGATTAAAAATTGTTGGGAAAACTAAAATTTGGATCAATCTACATCTATCGCATATTAGTGCAGAATTTTGATTTTTTAAATAAGTTTTGCTAGTTGTCATAGCAACTGTATATGTCCATGTATTGTGCTTTTGTTGTCAAAAGAGACATAATTATGATCTTCATATTCAATTTTCATGTAAAAAAAATTCAATTAGCTCAACATTAATTCATTTGATTATTTCATTAAAAAATTTTAATGTGTTCATTGGCACATGCACAGTTGTCATGGAAACCTTTCAAACTTTCATTTAATATAATATGCTGTATAATGTTCTATGCGTGTGAGTTATAGTAATAATACTGGTCTTTTTAAGATCAGACAGAGGGTGATACATCGTAACATTGTAATTCAAATAAGACCCCATCTATTCATCATATGAAACAATATTGAGAAAAGGGATGAATCGTAGTTTATTCTAAAATATTTGAGTAGTTGCCATGGAAATAGCCATGTTGAATTTTCCTTAGCAACAAGTCTTTCAGTGTTTCAAGTGTTTAGACAATGGACTAAAAAGCATATTTTTCGTTTGACAGCGGAAAGACAAAATTAGATTGAAATGCTTTCAATATTTTTCTTTGGTAAAGATGTTTTTTACGGGGTATGTTTATTATGTGTTTTACATGTTTTATGCCCCAGTAATCAAAGAATATGGGTATATACATGTAGTTTTTGCCCTCTCAACCATTCTGTTTATTTGTCCACAAAAACGTTAACATTGTCCATAACTTTTATATTGTTGAGGCTATGGCTTTCATATTCAACATAATTTATGTATTCCCTCAAGATCTTTCATTGTGTACCAAAATATTTGATATATTGACGTTGGAGTATGACCAGTTTCGGAGGAATTTACCAAATTTTTACCTTGTCTACAACGCGTGAAATTTTGTGCTAGGGGTTTCATACCGTTACGTTACTGTGACAAGTCCTTTGGATGGATGTATGAATTTATAAAATATATATTTTACATTTTGACCTTCACCTTGGAATTTGACCCACTTTAACATTGGGAATAACTTTTGAGCAGTTACTATTAGGACCTTTATGTTTCATAATTGTATTCAATTCAACAAGGCCTCCCCAAACATACAAACAATATTGACATTTTGATCTTGGATGTTGATGTACTTTTGAAAAGCATTAACCATGGCCATATATTTATAACAATTGGTGCTAAGACTTTAATATTTCACTTGTGTGTTTCTTGTAAGGCCTTCTCATTTGTACCTTTTATTTCACCTTTCCACCTTGACCTTGGAGTCTGACCCACATTTAACTTTAGCCACGACTGTGCCAGTGTTTTCATATTTCACACACCTGTACATTCATTGAGACAGGTCGTTTCTTTGAGTAGCAATACTTTTCATTCACAAGAGGCCCATGGGCCACATCGCTCACCTGAGCACATTGGCTAGGAAATAACGCAGAAATCATTTCAGTATTGAGAAGTTTACATGGGGGTTGGAGTCTGGAATTTTAAATTACCAAATACCTGATGATGCTTCTATAAAACAAATGCCTTTGCTGTTTCTGCGCAGATGATTTTTTTTCCTATTCATTCATTTGATCTCTCCCCATTGTGGTCCAGCACTACCCCTGGGAGCCCTCATTTGAACCTGTATGACTTTGTACTACCTGAGAATGCCTCCATTTCAATATGATTAAACATGGCTATTCTGTTCTTGGGAAAAAAAATTTCCTTTATATTTCTAGGCAAAACTTTGATCCCCAATTATGGCCCACCCTATCCAGCCCCTACTTCCCATTCATGACTTGAACAAACTTGAATCAACACTACATGAGGATGCTTACTTAAATATATGACCAATCATGGCTTTGTGGTTCTTAAAAAAAAGAGTTTTCAAAATTTCCAGTGTATTCATTCCTGTGAAAAACTTAAATCGTCCATTGAGGGGTCATGATTTGAACAAACTTGAATCTACTGGTACACTACCTGACTACCTGAGGATGTTTTCACATCAGTTTCATCTTTCCTGGCACAGTGGTTCTGGAGAAGAAGATTTTCAAAGATTTTGCCTATATATTCCTATGTAAATCTTTGATCTTCAGTTGTAGCCCAACCCTACCCCTGGGGGTCATGATTTAAAGAAAATTGAATCTAAACTACAAAATGTACCTGAGGATGCTTCCATATGAGTTTCATCTTTCCTGGCCTAATGGTTCTTGAAAAGATTTTTAAAAGATGCCATTAATTTTTCATTAATTCATAATTATCTCCCCTTGGTAGAGGGATTGGCCCTTCATTTAAACAAACTTGAATCCCCTTTACTCAAGGATATTTTGTGGCAAGTTTTGTGGAAATTGACCCAGTGGTTCTTGAGAAGAAGATGAAAATGTGATAAGTTTACGATGACGACAACGACAGACAAATTTTGATCAGAAAAGCTCATTTGAGCCTTTGGCTCAGGTGAGCTAAAAAGAGGTTGTTTTTTAAAAAAAAAAAAGAACAAATCTGGTTTTGGAAATATGATACGTTTTTATTCGGTTAAAACAATTTGAAAAGCATTCAATGTTGAGAGATTTTGAGATTTTGACATCAAGCTGTTAAAAAGGAGAGTGGCCCATTACTATAACTGAATGAACACTAAAAACAGGATTTTACCTCAGAATTTAAATTGTAAAATTCTACACAAGGTTAGGAGAAGTCTACTACTGCACCCAACTTAACAATCACACAGAAGACTCTACATGAAAATCATAAGGAAAATATATAGAGAACAATAGTGTGCAACCATCTTTGGTACACGTGTAGATGTTTTCCTCCCTTTTAATTTTTGTAGGCAGACTGTTTCACAATCTCACTTGCTCCCTGTGATACTTCACTTTGAATTTGATGAAGATCCACTTCTGGAATACTTGGGAAAGAGATATACTTGAGAAAAGAAGTTATTTTATGTTGATATCTAAGCCATGGTTTCAGTAGAGTTTTTTCTTCATTTTCTGTGCATGTATCTACAATTTCTCTGACTCTTTACTTGACAGTTTTCAGAGATTGTTCAATAACCTGCAAAAAGATTAAAATATGCAAAAATTAAACCAAGTTATAAATTCTTTGAAAATACATGAAACATTCTATGAAGCTGAAAGTATTATAAAATAGATAAATGTAAATGTAGTGTAGTAGCAAAGGAGAATTGCATGAAGAAAACATATGGCTGGACCGCGAATCGAACCCGTGACCCCTGCATTACTAGTCAGGACTCAGGTGCTCTAACCACTGAGCTATCCAGGCTGATATCCAGGGTCCGTATAGCTCGAACTTCTACATTCCTCCCTCCTTAAATAGTCTTCTACCGGGAATCGAACCCGGGACCCCTGCATTACTTGTCAGGTGCTCTAACCACTGAGCTATTCAGGCCGATATCCACGGTCCGTATAGCCCGAACTTCTACAGTAGTTATTATCCCCCCTCCCATGTGCTTCAAAGGAGAGGGTGGTATACTGTTTTATCCCTGTGTGTCTGTCTGTCCATGTGTCTGTCAGTAGCAAATTTTTGGTGTCAGTTTTTCAGCAACTACTCATTTCAAATGCTTGAAATTTTTGCACATTCTTTACTGAGGCATGCCATCTGATGTCAACTTCCTGTTTGTGCATCTGTCCATATCATACAAAAGAAATTTTTATAACAACTTTCTCAGCAACTAGTCATTGCAGATTATTGAAACTTGAGCACATTCTTTGCTGAGGCATGCAGTATAGCAGGATTAAATTCATTTCTGTAATCTTTCTATTTCCCTGCATCTGCCCATTATTGAACTTGTTTAACATTAACATGATACTAAGTGTATATTCACATCAGAGTGAGGGTATTACTATTGTGCATTGGCTCACATACTTTTTTTACAGCTCTTTTAAAATCAGATCTGCTATTCTTGTTTAAACTTCACCAGTGCTGGTTAATACAGTGTAGTGCAAATTAAAATGAGGAAATATGCATCATCATAATTTTGTTTCATAGATCTTTAAGACAAAAAAATGTTGAAATAAAATTGTATGTAATGTGGGTTAAAAAGTTTATGACCTTGACAACCAAATGAAATTCTTAGTAGTAACTAATATATACATAAACAAGGCAAGAAAATGATGTCTGTATTTTTAATTTGATAATCGTCTTTGGGATTATTTAAATTTGATCAGGATTGGTCAAAATATCAAAAAAAAAATATTTCTTAAATATTTTGCAATTTAATTTAATTTTCAAAAAAAAAAAAATGACTGACTTCTAAAATTGTTCATTTTAGTTGTGACAATAGTTTTATGAAGATTTTAACCATGCAATATAGACCTTCATATTTTTCACTTATTAATAAACATAAGATTTTAAACCATAAGCATTTTGTTTGCAAATAAAAGTTTTTAAAATTATTTTCTCTGAAAAATGTCCATATCATGGCCTTGAATGAAGTAGCTCTTTATGTTCATAAAGGTGTGGCTGAGCCTAAAATAAATAAGCACAATAAGCACCCCTTCTACTGTAGTGACAAAAACATAGTGTTTACTGTTACAACATTGTTTATCCTGGAACTTTGTAAAATACACATAACATATATAATGCTAAAATATTTGATCAAATAAATTAAATTATTCGGTGTAAATTATATAATTTATTTTTGATTACTATATTTCCAATAGATCATGTATGTACCAGTAACCTTGTAATCATTGTTAGATGATGTCTTGTATAATTTTTTTTTTCACTAAAGACATCTTTATTCCAATTTGTTTTCTGTTTACTTTTAAACTGTTTATCATTATTATGAAATTTCTAAACGACAAATTAAACTATGAATGATAGCTTGCATAATGAATAATAAATTACAAACCTGATCATATTTCCTGTTTTGATTGTCGGCTAGATTTTCATCGGACATCCTCTTCATATTGTTTGAGCATTCAACTTCATGAGACAGGCTGGTACATAGAGCTAAAAGTTCAAATTGAATTAACTTTATTTGAGCTGATAATCAAAAGATATATCATTCATACAAATCTTGTTTTAATGTAGTTTTTTTTAAAAGTACTATATGCTTGTTAAAATAATTTAAGCATCCCCCAAACCATTGTTTAAATCAAAATTTATATTAACATTTGTTTAAACATTAATCATGTTATTTAAACCCTAATAAGGACATTTATTCAAAGACAGAAATGTGCACTTTAAAATAATAAATATTCCACTATACATACTAGTAAACACTGACTGTACAATGCTCACAGGTTCCAGGAAGAACAAGTCCTCTAGCCTCTGTGTATTTTGAGTACACCATTGACTGGGATCAGTCTGTTGGATTTCTGCTTCTCATGGAATGAATTATGATTCACCAGATTTTTTTAAAATAAGGAATGGCATTTGACACCAAATTTCTTCTTCGTACATCACTCAGTCACTGTTTTGTTTCAACGGCTGAGAAAAATGTGTGGAACAAATTTCCCTATTATCAGAACTGGACGGCAAAATACCACATTCTTTTAGTAATATGTCCTTATTATTCATATCAACTGAATTCAAATTAAATACATCTTCTGACAAGTGTAATTTGTAGTAAAAACGAAGAAGCAAACCAATCTGAAAGTCTTCTGCTGGCAAAAAACATTCCTTTTTTCGCAGGAAACACAAAAGAGTTACACGAAGGGAAATAACTCTTGATAAAATTTAGAACTTTTCTCTTGAAAAACAGCAAATTTACAAGGCTTTATTTTCTTTATTTTAAATAACACACCTCCAATTTTTTTAAGGTTAACTTATATATCTTTAATCTTTTTACAGGATTAGTTTTGTTGAATTGCGTTGCTGCGTTTATGAGTTTCAGCCACATACATTATAAAGGAAATAATAGAAAATGTGACAAAAGTATGACTTGCTGGTTTCCATGGAAACAGCAGTATCCCATCATTTTGCATATACCAGTATAATTGACTAGTTGTATGTATTAATTTACCAAAGTTTTATTAAAATCGGTGACTACATGGCTTTCCATCAAATTTTGGTGCTTATAGAGAATGGCTCTTAAATTCTTCGATATTTTGCACTATACCTGAACTGCATTCTTGCTTCTTGACATCTTATCGATATCCTTGTGATAAAATTATATTTATTGCTCCATTCTGTCCTCATGTTTCCATGATTTTGTTTTGTTAATTCCTTAAGTATACTTGTAATCGTTGTACTCAAGCCCATTCCACTACTATCTCGCACGAACTCCCCCTTCCATTGCAGGATTGCCTTTCATTTCTCGCCAAACTTCATGACCATGCTCATTGCATCATCTTCTCGTTCAGTTATGACTTAAATGCATTGTTGCGAATTTTATTTTATTAAACTGCATCATTCTTCATCTCCTTCGATTTCCGTCCTGTCCTTTTTCCATGAGATGTTTTTTTAAATCACTTTCCCTCGTATAATCTAGATTAAGACAGTGTAAATGTCATTGAACTTTCATTAATAAAACATTTTCACCCTTGCTACTATATCGTGCTTTTTTTGTTCCTTCGTATTTATCTTGCTTCTTTTTTCAGTATTATCCCTCCCGCTTATCCAAGATTAATTTTCATTCCAACTTAATTCCATCATGATCACCCAGTAATTTTTTATTATTTTCTTTCATTATGCGCATTTCTTTCTTTTTCTATAAGCGCTAGTGGAATGAAAGAAAAATCCGCTCCGTTTTTTTTTTAATTATATTTTTCGTATTTGATATTTAAAAATCAATTTGAGCACCTTCAAGTAAATAACACCTTGTACTGTAAGTCATACAATTAATGGAGATTTATTTCCTCTATTAGTATTATAGTCATATAAAAAAAAGCAACGAATTAGTTTATGTAAAATCGTAGTTTCTAAAAAAAATATTGATATTGTAAATGTATTGTAATTCAAATAATTATTTTCTCTCTTTATTTAGAAATTACATTTCCGATTTCTTTTTTAAAAGAAAAAAAAAACATGACGTGTAGCGTGATTTAATTGAGATTATTATTTTTTTAAAAAAAGTATCACAGATTATCAATTTTATTGTTTATAATTATATTTCATTTACTACTAATGAAAAACATGTCTTCACCTGTAACGCACTGTTGTCATGAAGAAATAGTTTTTCAAAATATTTTAATGATATTATTTTTGGAAAGTTCCCACTAATTGATGGAAGGGAAGTAGAAGTGGTAAGACTAAGGTGTTTCTTTCCTGGTGAACCAAAATGGAATGGAAAATTCTCAGACAGGTATTATTATCATTTCTATTATATTAATTGATATAACTCAATAGTAAAACTGGAAACATGATTTTTTTTTTAAATATTACACTTGGAATTTACTATTACATATTTTGTCAACAGGACTGTAAAACGTTGCCACTATGTTTTAGTTAAACTACATGTACTACATTAAATGAAATACAGTTGCAGCAGTCTTGTGGGCAATATAATCATTAATCAAAAAATCCATCTACAAAAGGTCATGGCGTTCGTGCTGATCTTACTTGCTGACCAAACCCGTAAACTAAGGTGAATACTAATGCAATGCAACTACGTGCATCCTGTCATCTCTATGGTAAAGTGTGGATTTTTGCTTTCTACACTAAAATTAAGGGACCTAAATATTTAACAGAATTTTTTTTTAAATACCGTGTATGCTTTCTTCAAATAAAGTGCAAACACTTCAACTTACTCTTGAAGATAAAAATATAATTATATAAGTATTATATATACTCAACAGAAAAAGAAACTCATATTCAGATTAAACAGGATAATCTAAATTTTCAGTTTAAATCTTAATTTTAAAAAGTGATTTTAGAGTGTGTTGTGATGAACATCAAATAAGTCCTATGTTCCAAATTGACAAATTAAGTTGATGTCATTGACGTCGCCTCCAAATTCTAGAGGCATACGTCTTTACCAATCCATATGTCCTTTGCGACCTCTAAGTGCTATTGGATTTCCAGTGCACGAATACCAGCTCCTCTCAGTCTTTTGTGAACAATTTGTGCATTTTATGCTGATTTCAGCAGTTTGTACAGCAGTTCCCAGTCGATTGCGCAGGTGCTGATGGAGGATCTGACGGTCCTTTCTGGGTGTGGTAACCCGCGAACGGCGAGTTCTAGGTCTGTCATCTGTGTTTGTTGCTGCATGGTGGAGACGTGCGTTTAACTGCTGCAAAGCCGATTGATGTACACCAAATGCAGTTGCAACTTCCAGTTGCGTAGTTCCGGTTAGAATCATTGTTAGAGCCTTATTGCGTTCATCTTTGTTTAGGCGTGGCATTGCAGCATCAACATTGCAATCAAAGAAAAAATATGGGTTTAATAGGAGTGTTTATTGTTTCTCTAAATGCAAAATTTCATTTAAAGTAGACCCTCGATTTACAAGAAATCATGCAAAACACTATTTTCATAAACACTATTAATCAAGGGAAATAATTCAACAATTGGGATTTAAAAGCCCATGATGTACTTTTAATAGGTCACAGGTATTTAATGATAAAAAAGATAGTTGTTCCATATACTTTTTCAAAAACATTTTGATGAGTTAAAATTATGCGTTTCTTTTTTTGTTGAGTATATATTGCATATAATGTACAAAATTTCTAACAAACGAGTGTGAATTTGTTTTTTGAGTTCATGACCCAGATGGACTGGTTTAACCACGGTGGCGATTTGGTACATTGGAAAAATTTTTAAAAAGTCTAAGAAACAAAGTGAACACAAAATGGATTTATGTACATGTATAAAATAGTGCTATATCTGCCCTATGTGTTAAGCATAGTTCCTGGTTATAATTTTTATCCATATCGAGTACTAGTAATTCCACTCGTCATGTAACAGGGATAAAAACCGACGAAACTCGATCTCTGAAATTCATTATGGAACTACAAAACATTGGAAACCCTATATATATATATATATATATATATATATATATATATATATATATATATATATATATATATATATATATATATATATATATATATATATATATATATATATATATATATGTATGTATGTATATATGTATAAGAAATTAAACATAGGATAAACATCATCTGATGTTGAAAATTGATTTCAAAATTTTTAACATTTATTAAATTTATTATTTTGAAGTCAAATTATAAAGCTTTTCTGGTTTAATCTAAAAATTACTTGAATATAGGAATTTTGTTCGCAATATCTTACCTTTGCAGGGACCTGCAGTTACAATGCATATTATTCTCTTGCATACTTGTGCTTTTATGATTGTCGTTTCTAAAATCATATGAAACAGAAGAGAATTAAAAAATCTCAAAATGATCATTTCAGAGATGCCACCTCTTGGTTGGGGGTAAACAAGGAATTTAACGAGAAATATACACCGCTTAAAACTAAAGAAGACAACGAATACTGGATGACGTTGAATGATTTTCAATGTAATTTTGGCGGACTAATAATTTGCAGTGGTACAGATCCTTACCGTGCGGAAGGATTCGGTGTTATGCGGTCATACACTTGTAAAACTGAAAATCTTTCTGATCTTGTTTATATTTTACACTCTCAGAGGAGACTTTCAGAACGTAGATCATCGAGTCTTAAGGCAAAAGATCATGGAAGACTGAGAAACCATGTCAATGAGAAAGTAAAGAAAACTGAGAAAAAAGTCAACGAAATTAAAGTGACCGAAACAAATCTTACTGTGAAAATGGACACTTGTCGACGCCACAGCACCGGTGACGCAACAGTAACATCAGAGAATATTACTCACATATCATATCCTGGATATATAACTGACCACTCGACGCAGGGACATAACATCAAATGCCAAATGTTTACTTCCAAAAAACACCATTCCTATCCACATGAAGAAATATATAACAATATCAACACTAGGGTTTCCTTCGACCTTAATAGTTCGAATAGTACCTCGGACATTTCAGTGATCATTTCTCGCCCGCATAGTGCACCAATGTCGGCAGGTGAAACAGACTCTAAGTATGGATCTTCAGGTTCAGTGTCTCAACTTACACAGAGCAATTTTCTTGCCACACGAAAAGACTTTTTCCGACCCAGAGGCGGATGGAAACAGATTATCGAGCAACACGGGAAATGGACTAGTAAGTCACTTAATATCTTGTTATAAACAGTGAGAAATAACATGGATTTGGCATTCTCAACAAACCCATGCCAAATAATAGATGGTTTCATTTTCTTTTTCATACAAAACTGCACATTTAGTAAGCTATACTTTAGTAGCTACCGTATTCTTCCCGAATATTTGAGAAACAGGTACCATCTGTATATGTGTAATGGTGTTCAAAATACAGAATTCCAAATTGACATTATTCAATCAAATTGTCATTAATCATTTCTTAAATATATTTTAAATGATATATTGTGTTTATAAAAATGAAGGAACATTTTAAGTGCCATTTAATGAGAGCAAGAAATTCTTTTTGGCATCTAAAGGGAGACAAAAATAGATTTATAAAATTTGTTTGATTATTTTGCCGAACCTTGAATATATAACTTAAGAACAAACGTTAATTTGC